GTCAAGCATCCCAATTTGACCAAGAGTCTACCATAAAAATAGTGAGCCCTAGAACCTAATAAAGGTGTAGGCCAATCCTTTAGCATGTCATGAGTGATAGAATATAGCTGAGATGGTTAAATAATACACAAAACCAAGTCAGAATCGGTGCTTAAGTTGGAATAAAAATTGTGACAACAGCAGAACCAATTTTTTTTCTTTTCTTTTCTTTTAGTACAAATTTTGAGGGATTTATCCAACTTTAAAAACAAGATAACGAAGGAACGAATTTAACATTATGAAGACCCCTAGTCAGTCTAAGAAATCTAATGATTTTGGCAGCAAAGAGGGAGGATAAAAAGAGTAGAAAATAGCTCAACAGGGTTTGAAAGAAAATTTTTTCTTTCTCCTCCACTTTTGTTAATTTTTGAGAAAAGATGAGCTACACTCTCACACTCGGTTCAAAACAGATATATATTATCTCCAACATGTGAGGTCTAAAATTGAGTAATAACATATATACATACATACATACATACATACATACATATCAGCATTCATTTATATAGGTCTTGCTTTTGTAGGTGTAAGTTTATCTGAAAAAGTATCTTTATATGGAAGATCAACAATGTGTTGTTTCCGTTTCCAGAAAGCATTAGGTAAGTCTGAACAAATCTGTTGTTCAATCTTAGCTTGTAAATTAATAAAAAAAATTTTGGTAAATTAGGGTTTTGTAATTATTGGTTGATACGACAAAAAGAAACATGATTTTGTAAATCACGTAGATGGAATTGTTTCCTATGAATTAGTGCATCATTGATATGATATGTATGTATACAACATGCTTTAATCAAATTTAAATTTCTACTGTATGTGTGTGTGTAATTCATGTCCAGTATGAATAATAGCACGTGAATTATAATTCATGTCCTGTTGTTCACGTAGTGAATAGGAAAGAAGAAAAGAAGAAAAAGAAATGGAATGAGAGAGAGGGCGGATAACCTGGCGTGGTGGTGGTCTAGCCGAGGATAATGGTGTGCTGCCGGTGGTGGCAGTGGTGGAGCTGGTAGCAGGTGGCAGAGCAGGATGAAAGAAGAAGAAGAAAATCTGCAGGACAGAGAGAGAGAGTGACCAATTGTATATGCTTTGTCGTTGGTGAGGAATTAAGACGACTGTTGGTAGTAAAAATGGCGAGGGGCTGACACAAGGACGATGGTTAAGGACGTGATTGAGATGGTGGCCGGCGGTAGAGAAAGCAAAAGACAAAGAAAAGTAGGAGGGGCTATAGATAGGAGAGAGAAACCGACGGTGGGTCTTGGTGGTTGGTTGGTGGTTGTGTTGGCTTCCTGTGGTGGAGCTGATGGTATGAAGACCGATGATGAGGGTGGTGGTGGTTGAAGGCCACGATGGGAGAGAGAAAGAAAAGACATTTGTAGAAGCCAGAAAAAGCTGGTTGTGGCTGACTTTGGACCTGATTTTCTCTTCCTTTAGACCATGAAATCCACCTCTATTTATAAGCTAGAAGAGGGCAATCTTATCTATACCATAAAAAAATTTGAGCCCTTGATTCAGTTAGGAAGGATCCCAACCGTTGTTTCAAAGTAGACATCCTAAGAAATGAAATCTGCAGATAAAGGCCGACTGAGTAGGCCTCTTTAGTGTGTTACCAGTGCTGATGTATTATCATGTAGCCTGAACGAGTCATATGGGGTTGTAGAGACAGTGTAGAGGATCATTTGCGTATAAGATTTATCAAATTTGATGGACACTAGATACATGAAATGCAGCTGCAAAGTAAGTAACCGACCAGCTTTTTTAGAAAAAAGAAGAAGAAGAAGATAATGAATAGTGCTGAGTTCTATTTTTGGTCAAAGTTTATTTCAATTCTTCCCTTTTCAATTACTTTCAATTGAACCCTAATTGACCCTAAACTTTTTTTATTTAATGCAATTAAGCCCTTAATTTCAATCAATTAACTTGGTAAAAATTAAATTTTACTTGGTAACAATTTTTATGTTCTTGGATGAATAAAACATTATTGCTAACATCAAAATTTAGACAGACTTAAATCATAAAAGTTCTAGGAAGTTATGTCAACTTTCCAACAAAAAAAATTAAGGTCATTTGGATTTCTAAAACTCGAGATATGGGCTAAACACGGAACAATGTCTGGATTGCAGGACATATTCAGACTTTTCTATTGTTGTTATAATTTAAACTTGAAAACATCCTTTTTAAATCTTGAACTCCTATGAAAGTTTTAAGCCTATATCTTAGTTTTCCATCTATATAGAGTAGACTTAAATCCAAGTTCTACAACTCCAATTATGATCCAATGATCGAATAGTGTTCCAGTTTATAATGAACTAATATCTTTTTTCTAAGCTTAGCCCTCTCCTTGTCTTCTAAATTTTAGAAGTTAAATTCATCAATCAATCCTTTTATTTATATGATAGGCCTGCATTTAAGATGAATATTTACTATAAATTAAAGGTATCTTATAATATTAAACATGATATTATAAAACATGCTCTAGTTGAAGAGTTATTGATACTTTAAGTATAAAATAATAATATAAAATCTTGATAAAAATACACTTTTAAGTACTAAATAAAAAATAAAAAAAATATTTTTTAAAATAACTATATTAAAACAAAAAAATTATATTTATTTAATTTTATTTTGTTCGTGAACGAGCTTGAACTCAATAAAAAAAAATAACAAACCAAGCTTAAACTTTATTTTTAAACTTAATATTATTCAAACTCAATTTAATTTTATGAAACAATCTTAACTATCATGTATTCATACTAGACTCACCTCGTTTATGGTGATTGTGAACAGTCCCATTTATTTTTGTGTTTCAAAAGTATTTTAAAAAAAATTATTTTTTTTTATTTTTTTTTGTTTTAAATTAATATTGTTTTGGTGTTTTTTGGTTTTTTTAATGTGCTAATATCAAAAATAATTTTTTTTAAATAAAAACATTTTTAAAAATAACTAATATTATATTTCCAAGCATCCCAAAGGTGGTATAGATTATTTCTATTCCCATATCAAAGGCGGGCAAAGAAGAAAGGAAAAAAAATTTCTGTCTATTTGAAATATAAAAATATTTGAAAACTTTTGGATTTTGGTCACCCATAAGAAGCCCCCACAATTAGCGTCTATGACACCACTTCATGAAATAATATTGTTAGTAATTTCTGGATTCTTCTCATGTTTCCTTATATATATATATATATATAGAGAGAGAGAGAGAGAGAGAGAGGGCATATTCAATTAATCTGGATCTTTGAAAATGAATGAGAGGCCAACATTATATTACCTATTATTTACTTAATTAATGCAGTACTGAAATCAAGTGATCTTATGATCAAAAGAAAAATCAAGTCATCTTGCTTTAATACTTACCTGAAATGAGAAAGAGAAAAGATCTCTACGGATTAAAACTAATCCTACACGCACATGGAAATTTATCACATGCTAAACTTTCTTCTTCTTTCTCCTTTTTTTTATATCACGAGATTAAAAATAATCATATAAAAAATAGATGAAAATAAATTATAAAATTTAATTTTTAATAAATTAAATATTATTAAAATAAAAAACATAAATAAAAAGAAAAAACACTATTATTTGTAATGAATAGTATTATGTGAGATAATGTATAGTAAAAATACAACTTTTAGTTTTTGTTAATTAAATTTGTAGAGTTTTTGTTAATTAAATTAGTAGCCTGCACTCTCTCGTGGGTTGAACAAATATTTTTTCAACATGAAAAATTATGTCAAGAAAAAAAAATCTGAGACTTTCACTGATTTAATTAGTAGTTTAAAAAATATGATTAAAAAATACAACAACAATAAATAAATAAACCAAAAAAATAATAATGAAAAATACTTTAAAAGAACTTGATCTAAGTTAATACAGATTATAAAACATTAATGATGAATATTAAAATTAAAAAAATAAAAAAGACAGCAAAAAATCTCAAATAAATTACATAGTAAGTCTATAGTAATATAAGAGTATGTGAATAATGCACCACAGTATTTTTCTTTATAGGAAAAATGCCATTCGTTTTAAAGTTTTCTATAATAATTCTATTTGTAAATTGTAATTCTTTAGTATTAGATATTCAATTAATATAGTTAACTAATAAATTACAATTGGATATATTGTGTAATACAGAACATGTTTTAGAGTATATTAGATACATAAGAACACTTATGATGTCCTTTCAAAGATCATTTCCAATATTACTTTCTGAAGTAAAATAGATCAACTTTCTGAGGTAGGGTTTATCGTGGGTTAATTGTGATGTAAAAGAGGCTCGTGAAGGAGATTAACTTTCTAAAGTAGCCATGAGTGCAATTATACAATAAACTCTAATACTATAATAGAACAAGGAAGAGAATTAGCTTGAGAGAAAGAGAAGAAATTTTTGTTATACAGACACCCACACTAAACTTGGCTAGTACTATTGAGCTTTGTATAATTTACCTCACACACATATATATTACTAATAATAGAATATAACTGGATCTAAAGTTATATTTGATGATATTGCTTCAATAATACTGTTACTTAGAATTCCTTTTTTTTTTAGTGTCCAAAACCTCTGTTTATTGTCTCTCATGAAAAGGAAAGTAGAAATGCAACGAATTTCAAAGTCTCTTCATCCTCGCAGCATCTCTGTATTACTATTTAGCATATATTCATTGGTTTGTACCCAAGCCAAGTACCAAGTTCTTGCACATGTAACCAAGGTTTGCCAAAACTGGTCAAGCAAGCTTTAAGCTGGTCAGCATCTCTTTTTCTTTGCTTTCTGCGACAACAAAACGCAGCAACTCGAATCTTATGACACCTTACCCGAAATCTACTGCAAAAGTTTTTTTCTCATAAGATTTGTTTCACTATCTATTTTAAGAGATTTTTTTATATATAGAAATATCCATGTACATTTACTTTTCATCTTACATTCGAGAGAACTAGTTTCCAGTACTGTTCAGGAAAAGATGATAATGCTCAAGAAATTGCCTGAAGAAGTCTTAAATTTGTGGAACAAATGGGAGATTCGAGGAATGCTTTTAGTTAGTCTCTTACTACAAATCATCCTCATTATATTTGGTTCTCGAAGAAAGTACATTGCAAGAAGCTGGGTCAGGATTTTTGTTTGGTGTGCATACCTCTCAGCCGACTTGGTGGCAACTGTTGCACTGGGTATTCTATCTAGGAGCCAAGGCGATTCAGC